TATCCAAATTATTTCGTTACCCCCACCGACGCAGCCCCAAACAGTTTCTTTCGAAACTATCAGCCTTCGTTACTGTAATGTTTGTAAATAGAATAGAGTTCCGCATGGGGACCCAGAATTTTTCTTTTTCGTCTCACGCTCGTGACAAGACGAAAACTATCTTTATCTTTTTCTTTTCAGAGCTCAAAACTTACCATCTTTCTATTTCCAAAACTAATTGTTGTTGGAGTCAAGCCGCGATCCATCGTTTAGATAAAATTACGCTAAGATAAAGTAAGGCTGCAGTTTACGACCAGTAAAATGTTTCTGGCTTTTTCGCAATTGGTAGCAGCAACTTCTTGGAACTTCTCCCTCCCTTACAACAAAGAACTTAAGCAAAGCACAACGGCCACAGAAAAACAAAAGATCTAGTGGACAGAACAATAGCTAAGTGCTAAAGCGCCAGTGTTGCTGCGAGTTTCAAATATTGTCTGGAAAAAATTTTAATGGATTGTGGACAGTAACCTGGGCTTGCATTAATTGTTAATTTTCTGGGCTCTTGTCTGCCGAGATGTTCAGAAAAGACGTTATCCCAATCAGAAGAAAGAAACCTAGAATTAGTTCACTTTCCCATAAAAATAATTTACTATTTGGCCATATTGTTGATCTTGATGTTTTAACAAAATTTAATGGTTATTGTGGAAATAATACCGTCGTTTCTTTTTCTAGGCCAATTTTCTACAATCCAGGCTGCTAGGTATCCTGGCCTTCTATAACACTGTACTCCTAACAAACACTGACCTGGAAGAGAAGAGGTTAGCTCTTCAGAGCCTCACCAAACTGATGCAAGTGATGGGACGAAAGTACATCACTTACGTACGAGTCAAAGTCATGGGTATTCTGCGGTTGTGTCTAAGATTTCAGGATGAAGGGTTTCCCGAGCTATCCTGTGATGCGTGGGAGAACTTTGTGCGGAATCTGGAACTTTCAAACCTTGGCCACATGCTAAGCCAAATCATTGTGACTCTGTTGCCGTACCTGAACAAGCTTCCAGCAAGAGTCACACAGATTTTCCACTTTCTGATTGTAGAAAACAAAGCTGCTCTACGAGGTTATTTTCATGAGATCTATTTTCTCCCTGATATTCCTGAACTGCGTCGAGTCAATGCAGTACTGAGGACGTGTAGTGGGAATAGTATGGAAAAAATGGACTTTCGAGCTCAGTTGCGGCAATCCCTGAAAGGAATATCTCATGAAAGTGCTGATGTGCAAAGACATGCTTTGTCAAAACTCAAACAGCTACTTCATGATAACCAGGTAAATATTTCTCTTGTTGAGGTGAGTTTTTGTGGCTTTTCAGGCTTTTCTCATTCAGCTTCTCACGTCCAAAGCCCACAATTTTGACCTTACGCGCTTAAAAAGTCCTGTCCTTGTTACTGGGGTTCTTTCTCCAACTTCCGTAGCAACCCGGCCGTGGAACAAAC